GGGGTGGGGTATAGGTCTCATTGCTCATTCATTCTACTGTTTACTGCCTACGCGCAAGCACTCACTTCACTTGTTTGCATTATTCAAGCACTTCCTAACCTCCCTCTCCCAACTCTTGTTTATGCTGAAATGTATTTCAGTAGTATTTATTAGCAGAGTAGATCTGCCCTTTTGTGTAGTAATACTCTATTGTTCATAATAAACACAAATGTGTGTGTGTAGAGTTAGGAGGATGCCAGTCAGGACTTAATTATACATGATGATTGAAAGGCAATTCTATCTGTAGTGCTCCATCGATGCTTAAGTGTTAAAGAATTTTTGTCTGGTTATATAAAGTTGGCACGTGCAACCACTCAAACCTGGAAGGAGGAAAATAGCCTTGGGGCAAAAGAGTGTCGTTTTTCACTAAGAAAGCACTCTTTTTTTTAATTTAGTCCCCCATTCGTTGGAAATGTCTGGCTCTCCAATAAACCAATAATTACATTAGTGGTGATATTACATAGCCAGGGATGAGCGTAGAAAATGCTTTGTCAATTATCATGTGTACAAAAGATTTATTTATATCAAATGGCAAGCGTTTTGATGGTTATCATTAGCCCTTTATTTGACTTCTGGCTTCACAGAGGGGAGGAGGAACATCAAAGTGAAAATAAGTCGAGAGGAGGGGGGGGGGGATAGAAGAAGTGTATCTAAGGCGAAGGTAGAAAAAAGGTGAGATGAGTACTGTGAAAGTAGTCGAATATGACATACAGTAGGGTGCTGGTAGTTAGAAGCCAGAAGTCAACTGCCAGTTAATAGACTTTTTGCCGTATGCGTATACGTTGTCCATGGTGCACCACGTGGAGGTAAGTCTATCGCACACCCCTGTGTACAAAAGATGAAGTTGGGAAATTTTTATTAAATTCGCCTAAAATATTCAACACTTTTTAGTGCTTTATCTTATTGATTTTAAATATGCAGTTCACCCCCTAATTTTATATAGAAAAAAGGCCACTGATGAAACTGCTTTGTTATAAGGTCTTGTAAACTTGGTTTAGTCATCTCTCCAACTAATTGGCCGGAGGATCAATCATTATCTTCCTCCTTCCTGGGCTCAAGAACTGACTCACTTTAAGGCCTTACATCAGCAAGAGGTAAAATTCACACCGATTCTTAGATCGAATGTTTTGCGTTCAGTTGTCTATAGTAAGGTAAATGAGGATTATTGGGCACTTCTTGAGGAATGTTGTTAGGAATATTCAGTAGGATTAAAACCGAATGTTAAAGTCTCTCTAATGTCAAATGAAAATACAACTATAATGATGAGGATTATGTTTGTGGGAGGTCACATGCCTCCTATATAACCTACAGGAGGAAATGGAGAAGACCCACTTGATTCGGTGTCCAGCCCTAATGACAATGACGGAAAGCCAGAGATACTGGGAAGCAAGAAGACAGCTAATGAACTACTATTAATTAACTGCTGTATATGTACCGATGGGGGGGGGAAGCCGAATTCAAAGTTTAAGGGCTACTGATAAATATCATAAAGCCTGCCATTTGAAAAAAAGTTTTTGGGAAAGTCTCTACACCGAAGGTGATATTATTAACCGAATTGTTGCTAAAATCTCTTACCAAAAGCAAAAGAGATGTCTCTCTAAGTTTTCGCGCACAAATTATTATTTGAAACAACTTCAACTAAACAGGTGTTCGGCGAAGAAGAAGAAGATAGCAAAAATGCTTTTCTTTCGACAATTTTTAGATTTTGGAAGGGGGGCTGTTGTCCCTTGGCGGAAATATTATCCTATCTTTAATAGTTCTTTTTACCCAGCAATGTACCCTTCAATACTGCTATTTATAGGTTTGAAATGTACACTTTTTAGCATCTGTAACTATAGCTACAATGAAAACACCTATTCAAGCGCGCTTAACCACCTGTGTCTCTATTATCCAAAACTATATACCCTTAACGCCAAATCTAAACTCTCTGTAAATTTCACCACTGGGTTTGTAAGTAATCTTAACACGTCTCACAGTATTAATATCGTGTGTATTTTAGACATGTTGATTTTGTCTGGTCTTTTACGCGCCTACTTTGTCGTCAATCTGGATTGTATCTACCGTCAAGAACTCGGGACGAATTTGATTGGTTTGCTCTATGCAGTGTTTTCATTAATTTCACTTCCAAACCTTACATTCCATCCAATAAGGAGGTGATAGTCGACCCCACTTTTCAAAAACCTTCCAATAAAGCCGCGACTGAAGGCTGCTCTACCCTAGATAATAATCTACGGGATGCTCTCCTGAAAGCCATTGAAACTCTCGCAAAACCTTTTGGTATGTTGTCAATACTACTGTTGAACATATCAGCGTCTACAGAAGATTAACTTTAACTTATATATATATATATATATATATATATATATATATATATATATATACATTTTATAATGCATTTATTTTTGCACATGTTTTTGCCTCCTGTCGTTTCAACGTTAACGCCCATTTTTCTAGCCTTTAAACTCGCCAGTGGGAGTGGGTTTTCAGACTCGTCGCAAATTGAGAACGAATGGTTTGATGAAGCGGTCCTTTTTTAAACTCATAAGCGCTGAATGTTTATTTCTCTCCCAAATAAGCGAATACTCTTAAGTGTTAGCAATCTTCACATTCATCACTGCTAAGTCTGCTGTCAAAATAGTCCATATAAATGAGGTTGGTGTGTGATTGAAGCGCTTATGCCCACTCAATTTCTGTTTAGAAAGATAGCCCACCTTTTTATGTCTGATGGGAGTGTCAATTACTCAGACCCGTTCTAAACGTTCATGGTGTATTTTCGATTCGTCTACTCTGTCATTTCAATCTCGCCAGTCATAGTATGTGTACGGTTTCTCAGACATCGAAGCAAGAAAAAGGGTTATTTATCATGAAAGTTCGGAATCCCATAGTATCTCTTTCCGTAAATCAGACCAACATACAATGTCACTAATGTGGTTTCATTCCAAAACCACGGTCTTGAGAATCGATAGTGGGTTAACTTCGTGTCTTCGAAGCAATTTACGTTATCCAAATTTAATGAATTGCGTTCAGAGCATCAAGGCTATTTCTTCTTCTTGGAATGTGGAGTAAATTTTGCCTATTACACTCTAGTCGTATTATAAATTTGCCTACACAATACTATGAATCATATTTTAGTTATCTTCAAGGCCGCCAGTGATGTTATTTATCACTTTGGTTTGGCTTACGGTGAAGCCAAAAATTCATATTTCCTAATCGTGGGAAGGTATTTGAACACACAGGGAACTGTGAAATAATCCAATCATAAAATTAATTGCTGGCGTTGAGCTAGGTGAAGAGTATTGAATTGTCGTTGAATACAAGCTTGCCTATTTTCAAGTCCCTTGTCATTTTCGAAATGACTGTTTTTATACCCTAATTCCTAAGCCTCGACAACTGGAAGCAAAAGTACGAGGCCTATTGATTGTCTGCTAACATTGGTCAGTATTTTGATTTTTCCAAAGACCTTTTCATTCATTCAGAGACCATCTACGTGTGTGTGTGTGTGCTACACCTATTACAAACCCTTTTAAAAATTCCGTTTGGCATATTTTTAATCTTAGATTCTTATCTCCTACTTCTATCTAAAACGAAAGTGGTTGTTAGTTCTGTCTACTAACGTGCAATTCTTTAAAATGGCCTTTTGTTCCTATAACCTTGAGAACTTGGACAGGGGGGTAAATAAGTGCTCTTTGTTAGGAAAATTGAATACAAATGATGCATTGACATTTTTTCTCAGTAAAAGGCTATTGTTTCTCTCTCTCAACAGTTGTTTAAAAAAATCAATTTTTTATTTGTGTGGCTCCATAAGATGGGCTCTGGAGGAGCTAGTAGCCAATTTCCCCACTGAGCTTATTATTTCCATTCAAATTCTGGCTTTTCTGACAACATTCAGAACTCGTTTTGTGGCAATTTGGCTCCTTTGAAGCAATCCTCAAGGTGCCATATCTGTTATCAAATCCTTTTCTTCATTTTTACTAAATGGTCGAGATGAATTGGATTATATGTCAAAAAATGAAACTCAAGTCGCTTTTGACGTGCTTCCTCTTCTAGTTTTCTGTGATTCTATTTATTTGAATGCCCTCGACCTGCCTACCAACGTCTTGAAACTCAATTACTCATCTCCTGTTAAAAATGTGGAGATGAGGGCAAGGGGCGAGAGAGACTAAACGCCTAATAGGAAGATAAATTTATCATAAATAGTTTTGCAATTTTTGTTCTCTATTCTAAAATATCTTGGATGAGTGTGCTATTTTGTCGTCTTCATTTCACAATTCTCTTGAGTGTTCTTCATCGCTTGGAAAGGATGGAGTCTGATTTTGCTAGTCTCTTTTTTCAGTTTTCATTGCCTATTTTTAAACAATTTGAATCCATTTATTTATTTCAAATGGCAGACGTTTTGATAGTTATCATTAGCCCTTTAGGTGACTTCGGGCTTCACAGGTGGAAGGAACATCGAAGTAACAGAAAGTCGAGGGCTGGGGAACACAAGAGTGATTTACAATTGTAAAAGAGACAGACACAAAGGCAGAGAAATGGTAGGATGAGTACTGCGGAAGTGGTAGAATATGGCATACAGTGGGGTCATGGTATTTTGAAGTGAGAAGTCAACTGTCAATTAACAGGCCTTTTTTGCCGTATGAGTATACGTTGCCCAGGTTGGACCACGTGGAGGTAAGTCTATCGCACTCCCCAATTTGAATCCATAAAGCATGCTTTTATTGCATTATAAGCCGCCTTCTCGTATTGTGTCTATTCAAGGAAATATGTTAGTCTACGGCTATAGTTTGTCTCCTATTATATTTCCAGTTCAGCTTTTTTTCTTTTTCTCTAATTTTTATCATCTAAGATTCTTTGCAATTAACCTTTGGCGCTTATACCATTCCAGTGCTTGTATTTGATTCTTATCTGCTTAGGCGACTTGATGACAGAGTAAGGAAGTGGATTTCGAAGGAAATAGAATTCAAATGTCTTTGCTTTTTTTCATCCGTTGTTTTGTGGTTCGATTTTATGGACAGTTTTGTGTCTTTCCTCGTCTTGTAGGGTTTATGTTGTGTGACTGTCAGTATTTCGCTCTTTCTCCCTCCTCCCCCCACCCCACCCCACCCCACCCTACCCCACCCCCAAATCACCTGCCTCTTCCTTCAGTGCGTAGCCTTTTTCCTTATTCATTGTCTAAATCATTTTCGAAGGCAAAGAAAAGAAAGTACGAAAAGTTGTTTTTTTTTGTTTTTCTTTCTTGGTATTCATTTCATTTTTGACTTGCAAATTTTTCCTCGTGTTTAACGGAATGTATGCATATTGGCGTGTGTGCTCCTTTGAAAGAAATCGATTATTCCAGCAGGATATTGAGTAAATGCAGAAACACTTTAGTGTCTACTGATTGGCGTGGTTTTTTAGTGCCCCCAGGGTTCAGTCACTTGATAATTGCCTTTCAAGTTGTGGTCACCTAAGTGTGGTGTACATCATTTTGCTGTCAATCTCATGTCGTGTGTGTTAATGGAGAATTGGCGTTGGTTTGCTCGCGCCTTGAATTATTGAAAAAGTTTTCACTTATTTCTACTTTGACTTTTAAATTTGTGCTCATGATTGATGGGAAAGTTATCGGTTAACGCCTGCTATTTAATTCAATTTTTGCTCATTTGATTTTCTCCCTTGTTAAACACTTCCACTCAATTCTCCTCTCTTATGTCCAATGTTTCTTCATTAAATTTGACCTCACTGGGAAAATCTTTTTGCCAAAAGTACCCCCACATATTTATTTCGAATGGTAGTGCTACTGTGCAGATGGGCACATTCTACAAAATTGAGCAACTGAATCATACTCGCTCTATTTCGTACTTTCTTATTACATTTTTTTCCATGTGCACTTTGCAACCATTCTCATAGCCTCGCCTCAGATTTAGTTCGGTTGCCTATCATCTGATCTTATTCTGCGTTTTGGTTCCGTGTGTAAGTTTTTCTCTTTCATGGCGCTTCTTCTCTGCTTTACTTTTGCTACGATTAGACGAACACGTATTTGGTAGAAATTGATTGCACGAAGATTCGTGCCTCGTACTATGTTGCGTTTCCCGAACCTGACTAATAACGCGTGTTTGAAAGCTAATCTCGGGTTGTGGAATGGCACTATTTGAGTGAGAAACCCCCCCCCCCCCGAAATTTTTCATCTCTTTTAACAGACAGACTTAATCAATGCGCCTGGTTATTCTTCCTTTCCGAGTGCATACTTCTAGTCATCGAATCTGTGAACTCTGACCTTGCAGATGAGCACGTTAGTCACTGTCCAATTAGTAGGTTTTTTTTATTTGTATATCTTCTCTCTCCCTCTCCCAGCTTCTTCACTTTTAGATAACAGTTTTGTGATATTTAGCTTTCTTCGTTTCGTTAAATAGCGGGCTTTTCCGAAGCTTTTCACTCTGCAGATGAGGTTTGATAAGTCCACATACCCCCTCTTCACTTAAAGGAATGTAGTCATTAAATCCCACTTTCATAGTATATTTTCTTAATACGCTGTATCCTATTTATGCCTCTCGAGCTGCTGAAACGGCGTATATTGTTGATTTATCTCATAATCTCGTGTGTGTGTGTGTGTGTGTGTGTGTGTGTGTATCTTTGGCAAAGTTTTTACCTTTGGTAACCCAGCCCAACTCCTCCTTTGGGTCACCGTCGCATATCGATTCTTTATGTGGAGGATTACAGTCGCTCAGAAATAGCCTAAAATCCCAACTTGATAACCATCAATTGGTACTTAACATACTTGTTTTATGTCAGTAATAAACATGATAGTATCGTGCAAAGGTCACCTTCAAACAAAACAAAATTGGGTAATAGTGTTGTGAGGAAGAAGTTGAGATAGTCAAGTTGGAATACAAGTCGTTTGGGGTTAAATTTTTGACCTCAGCAGTGCTATTTTAACGCAGAGAAGTCCCGATTTCGCTTAATTTATACCCTTCAAAAACGCATATTCGAGTAACCGGAGCAGTCATTTTGGAGAATTCATCAGGAAACACTTAGGAATGGAGGAGGCAGAGTTGGGGGGGGGGGCTGTATTTTCTATTCACCTTAAAAATCAATACTTCTGTTTTTGAAATTCCTATTTTTATTTATTGGGTTCATTAAAAAAAGCTCATTTTCTAAAGTGAACAGAGCCAAAGTTTATAATGATGGAAAGGCTTTCGATGCTTATCTGAGTCGAGTGAATGAATGGCCCATCAAGAACTCATTTCCATCTCATTTCATTTTATTGGTGTTTGGAGAGTTGGGGGACGTCAAGTGCTCTTTCCTTATCTAATTTAATTATCAAAAGTGAAAACCATTCATCCACAGTTAATTTAATAAAAAAAAGAACAAGAGGAGTTACTGCAGATTGTGTAGAGGTGATTTAAATTGTGAAATTGTTGTTGTTGTTGTTAACATGCTGCCATCTCCCTGGATAAGAGCGATTGGAGTGGTGAAAGGCGCCTCCATGACTGCGTAATTTTGCGGTCTGGGCAAGTGCCCTAGGGGGTGGGAAATGAGTACCTAGGGAAGGGCAGTGGTGCAATTAAATTCCTGTCTGTGTCTAGTTAATATCTAATTACCAATAGATGAGTTCATGACAAAAGGCAGGGCTTTTTTTCATTCTCTCAAGAAGAGCCGGAAACTGCAGTTCGATCTTTCACGTGTTTTAGGCTCTTTCAGTTTATTTGTGAATTGCAAAATTGATAGCTACTGGCCTTCAGGTTCAATTTTAAGGTAACCCGATGGTGTTGCACTTGGTTAACTATTTATTTGCATAGGATATTCTCTACACTTTCGAGTTGGTGAGCGTCTTTTTATTCTCTGAATCTGTGGCCTATTTTGGCTAACTTGTGTGTTTACATTTCGCTCGCTCCATTTCGTACTTTTCTCTTTGTTTTTTTCCAGGTGATCGCCTCATCTGTAATCCGATCGAATTTGATAAGGATGATGAAGAGGAAGGCCATATTGACTTCATCGTTGCAGCCTCTGTAAGTTTTGACTTTCTTTGTCTCTTGATGTAAATACCCCTTCTGTCATTGTAAGCAAAAGTGACCAATTGGATTACCCTATATATGTATATACATATATGCATATAGCCTGAGTAGTGTAGTTAGGGCCTATTTTGTGCTTGAATGAGAGCAGTTGAAAGCAAACAGTTATCGCCAAAATCACTCCCCATTGAGAAATGAGAGCGATAGACCTACAGGCAAGACCCTTAATCTACCACACAGTCATTTCTTTGCTGCCTGCTGCTAGCACGTTTTTAGGTGGTGGGAGAGATGAGAGATATGTGGCAATTGCCACACTAAAGAGTTGAATTTCAACTCTTCCCCCACCCCCCTTTTCAAAGCAAGCCCACTACTTATCTCTCGAATTAATTCAGAATTTTTTTGAAATTGGTAGTGTGGATAACGTAGGGTTGCAGTCTACTGACCTAAAGTGAAAAGAATGAAAAGAACGCGAGATCGTTGAACCAGCTGTGTATTTAAATAACAGCATTGGTTGGCAGGGTGATAGAGGACCCAGAGAGTTATGCCTGAAGTTTTAGAGACAGTTCCAACTGTGTTAACGATGCCACCTTTTTGAGAGCATCAAGCGGAAGGTGGAGGCGGGGGGGGGGGGGGGGGGGGGGTGGTTGTATTTTCATGTGGCGTAGACACCTCAGTCGGATTATTTATCTTGGTAATTCCGAATCATGCAGACAAATTAGCTGCATTCATGTGGGGGCACCATTTTCATAGCCTTAGTGGTTGAGAATTTCGACTCAAGCCGATTTAGTGATTGCCAACACTGAATGTCTAATTATCTATTCAGCTCTGAAAGATACATGGAAGTCCCGGCTGTCGAAACATTCGATTATCAATACTAAATAATTATAGCCAGAAAGCCGAAAAGTCCTTTGATTAGATATGTTTTAGTCTTTTCAATATAAATGCGGAGGCTGTCTTTGGATTATAATGGCTAAATTATTTCAATATATTTATTTATTTATATCAAATGGCAGGCGTTTTGATGGCTATCATTAACTCTTTAGTTGACTTCAGGCTTCACATAGGGGGAGGAACATCAAAGTGAAAAAAAGTCGGGAAGGGGGGGGAGGAACAGAAGATTTTCAAATACGAAGCTAGAAAATGTAGGAAAAAGGTGGGGTGAGTACAGTGAAATCGGTCGAATATGACATACAGTGGGGTGATGGTAGTTTGAAGTCAGAAGCCAACTGCCGGTTTGTAGACTTTTTTGCCGTATGAGTATATGTTGCCCAAGGTGCACCACGTGGAGGAAAGTCTATCGCACTCCCCTTATTTCAATATTATAGTTAGAATTTTATGCTTATTAATTTGGTATGAATTTATTTACCCATAAACATGAGCTGGGTTATTATCGTGAATAATTTTGTTATATATATATATATATATATATATATATATATATATAACGGAATATATATATATATATATATATATATATATATATATATATAATGTTCAACTTGGCATTCGTTTCTCCGGCAATCCCTTGAAACCAGTATTCATATCACTGAGGAAAAAAAGTTCTATCAATTGTAGAATCTACGGTCTGCGATGTACGGTCTTCCTGTGACAGATCGATATGAAGTGAAGCGAATAGCCGGCCGCATTATTCCCGCTATCGCCACTACAACCGCCACTGTTGCAGGCCTTGTTAGTCTTGAGGTTCTAAAATACATTTGCTTCAGCGGAGACAGTGACAACTCCGATAGGAAAGAATATCTTGCCAATGAGGCCCGGAACAATTTCATCAACCTCTCTCTTCCCTCTGTGCTTTCTGTTAGACCTGGTTTGTGTGAGGTCACGAAACTACCCAATGGGGAGGTTTTCACGACCTGGGATAGATGGGATTATAAGCTACCATCTAGAAGTACTACGATGCAGGACTTCATTACTGATTTAAAGGTTTGCTATTCCCGTCTCGCTGTATATCTACCTGTCTATTCGTCATCCTTAATTCCTGAGCTGTATTTGTTTGCTTTCAGGTGAAACACCATCTTGATGTGTCCCTTATTACAAAAGGAAATGACCCAGTCTTCATTTCGATGATGCAGCCTTATATGTCACGCCTCAAGAATCCGTGAGTTGAATTTCAATCCGTTTTTTTTTCAAATACGACTATGTTTAAACCCGGTTTATTCCTTTGAAGGAGAGGGAGAAAACAAATAGTATAATTTTGGGGGTTTTATGTATTGTCCAATTATTTACTGTTTTGATGGAAACAATTACAAATTAGGGCTTTCGAGTGCCGTCCATAGGCAATACGTCCAGTCGCGCAAATGTGAATAATTGTAATCGGCCAATAATCAGCAAGAATCGATTGCTTGATTGATCAAACACAATTACTCAGTAGAGTTGATCACGTTTTGTGTCGAATCACATTAATTAGGAAATAGGTTTTGCCAGTTTTGAAAGAAACTTACCTCCCGTGTAGGTCTTATAGGGTAGATGTGGCTAATTTTGAGTAGGCGTTCATACAAACTTTTTTTTGCATCGAGTTCCTATGCCTTTCAATGTGCAAGTATGCACTCATGAAATGTTGCATACTGTGCCAAAATCGCAAACGACCCGTGCTATTATTTTACCCGTGTGGGGTGTGCGATGGATTTACCTCCACGTGGTGCACCCTGGGAAATGTGTACCCACACGGCTAAAAAGTCTATAAACCGGAAGTTGACTTCCGATTTCAAACTATCATGACCCCACTGTATGTCATATTCTCATCTCGCCTTTTTCTCTACCTTTGTGTCTGTCTCTTTTACTTCAGTGAACCGTTCTTCTCTTCCCCCTCTCCACTTCTTTGTAACTTTGGTGTTCCCCTCCTCTGTGAATCCCGAAGTCAATTAAGGGACTAGTGGTAACTATCATAAAGCGTGCCATTTGATATAAATAACTTTTTCCCGTGTAAACTTTTTCCACTTTTATTGGGTCTGTCCATTGACCTGTTTTCATATCGACTTTGCAGTTGAAATTGTCAATTTGTTGTAAAATCGTTTTCCACTAATTCGGTATTTTCACGACATCTAGGCTTGACAAAGTCTTAAAAAGCACGGACATTTTTTGTGTCTTTTTGTTCCACTGGGAATTTGTTCGAACCTGACGATTTTATCCCCACCTAGATTGTCAGGTTGTTACTCTCACGTCTTTTTATTCACTATCATTTCCCTTCTATTTAATAGTATTGTGCTGCTTTTTATGTTTTTTTCTATTTCTAACATCTTCAATTTTTGTAAATTGTGTTCGATTAGATTCGTTCAAGAACTGAAGGTGTCACCGGAAGACAAGTACGTTGATTTGGTTGTTATCTTCGAGGGAGGAGATGGCATGGACGAAGATGTCGCCGGTCCACCATTCCGTGTCATTCTTCCTCAGAACGAATAAAACTCGGTGCATTGACAGCCTTGCCTCCTATTAGTACTCTGAAATGCCACTTTTCCTATCATTCTTTTGTGACATGCGGCCCCCCTCCCCTACCTCTCCCTCCGCCTCCCTCCCCACCCACATATCCTGCCCCTTTATGTGGGGCATTTTTTTGTCATCTCCGTTTTGACAATTTTCGTGTTAGACAACATTCCTGCTTGGCCCTTGTTTAGCTGCTTTTGAAGCATTTCGCGTTATATTTTGTTAGAGCGGTTGTTTTCGAAAGGGGATATGGGGTTGTGTCCAGTTTTATCCCAAGAGTGAATTATTCATGTGGTGGAATTCCCCTGAGGCTAATTTTGGCTCTCCATTGGTCTGCCTAAAGCTGGTGGTTTGTTTTCGAGTCTCATTGAATTTCTATTAGATACTAATTAGAAATAGCGAGTTCCACATTGGTTATATTTTCTCTCGCAGAATTAATTATAGTGCAGAAAGGCCTTTCCATAGACCAAGAGTGGAGTCGAACCTCCTGGTCGTTGGAAGTGGTGAAAAGATGAGCGATGGGTTGAAAGTTGAGACGAGCAAGGCGTCAATTCTAAATGAATGAAAATGCGTTTGTTTGAATGAGCTGTTAAGAATTTCACATTCATTTTGGCATCGCGGGGTTATTAGTCAGTATGGAATGCTACAAAGTGCACAGCATAAACGGTTGGGCGAATGGTAGCTTGAGAATTTCGGTTTCACAAAAGTTGACCTTTGTGGGCTTGAAGCATTTAATTTAGCCTTTATCTTTCTCTTAGCCTGACATTCGTGACTTTTTACTTTTTGGCAGTTTGTGCTTTCTAAAGTGCCCTTTTAAAAGGTCAATATATAGGCATGAAGCAAGATTTTGTGGATCGCTTTTTTACCAAGAACCCAATTCAGTAAATGCATTGTTTTCATTACCGCATCGAGGGGTGGGCGACAGACTTACCTCCACGTGGTGCATCCTGGGCAACGTATAATCATACGGCAAAAAAAGTCTATTAACTGGCAGTTGACTTCTCACTTCAAATTACTATGACCCCACTATACGCCATATTTGACTACTTCCATAGTACTTACCTCACCTTTTCTTTGCCTTTGTGTCTGTTTCTTTTACAACTGTAAATCACTCTTCCGTTCCCCACCCCACCCCTCGACTTTCTATTACTTTGACTTTTCTCCTCCCCTCTGTGAAGCCTGAAGTCAACTAAAGGGCTAATGATAACTATCAAAACGCCTGCAATTTGTTATAAACAAAAAACATTAATAAAAAAGCGAAATCAATATCCAAAAAGCAGGCTATATGGTAGTTATCATTAGCTCTTTAGTAAACTTCTGGGTTCACGGTTGAGAGGAGTATCAAAGACACAATAAAAAGTCGATAAGAGGAGCAAAAGAAGAATTTCGGAAAATCTTGCGACCATAGCAACACCGGTTCTGCTAATCCAATCTTGTGTACCATAGACTTACCTTCACTTGGTTCGCCCTGGGCACCGTATACTCATACGTCAAAAAAGTCTCTAAATCGATAGTTGACCTCTGACTTCAAACTATTATTGGCCGACTGGATTTCATTCGATCATTTCCACATAACTCACCTTTCCTTACCTTTTTTATGCCTTTGTGCCCGTCACTTACATTTTAATTAACTTTTCTGTTTCCCCTCTCCACTTTTTTCAACTTTGGTGTTCCTCCTCCCATCTATGAAGTCTGAAGTCAACTAAAGGCCTAGTGTTAACTATCGTAAAGCCTGCCATTTGATAGAAATAAATTTTGCGAATCGTGCCATGAACATCAAAAATTCCAGTTTTATTTCCTAGTAACTCTTCCACTTTACTGATGGCTCCAAGCGTAATCATTCTGATTAGTGCCTGCTTCCTCCCAATCTTGTGGATGGGAAGTTAAATGGAGTTTTGAGCGTTTCCTAAATTAAAATTTCCTGTTGTGGTTTTATGCGTGGATGTTAGGCCATTCTCTTTTATTTGCATCAACCATTGTGAGCAAATTAATGACTTGGTGCTTAATACAAAGATAAATTCAAATCCCTTCCACCATTTCGGAATTGAAAATTTAAATTTTACCCTTAAAATTATTTTGTGAAGTCGAACATGAAAATCACGTCTACGAACGAAAATCACTCCTGGGTCACCATCTTATAGGTTAACTGTAACCAAGGTCTCTAATTAATTGAAGTATCAAGAACCGCCAGCGCCAATTTAGCGGTTAAGACTTATTTATATCAAATGGCAGGCTTTGTGATAGTTACCATGGCGTGTGCGATAGACTAACTTCCACGTGGTGCACCCTGGGCAACGTATACTCATACGGCAAAAAAGTCTATTAATCGGCAGTTGACTTCTCACTTCAAGCTACCACAACCCCACCATATGCAATATTCGACTACTTTCACAGTACTCACCTCACCTTTTTTCTACCATTGTGTCTCTCTCTCTCTTACTTTTTTAAAACACTCTTCTGTCCCCACCCCCCTCGCCCTCTCGACTTTTTCACTTTGATGTTCCTTCCCTCTGTGAAGCCTGAAGTCAACTAAAGGGCTAATGATAACTATCAAAACGCCTGCCATTTG